ACCCCCCCCCAAAAAAAAAAAGCTAAAAGTCTCTGAAATGCCATGGCAATTATGTACCTAAATTGAACTTTAATGAGAGTGCTCAATCTGTGTTGGTAATTGTGGCTGCTGTTTATTTACAAATGCTGTGTACCTGCTGATAGGCACAGCTGCTGCTGCACAGGCACTGGTAGCTCTCCTCTAACACCTCAACAGTTGTACGGCCATCCTGGTTTTTTGCTCCTACCATTCTGGCAGCCGGAAATTCACATGCATGTTCCTGGAAATCTGAGATGATATGTACAATCTCCCAACAGACTGATGGAACAACTCAAAAATGAAAAGATATTAACTGGAGGTGACACTTACCAGAAGGACCATCCATAGTCCCACGAATGCGGTCGCCAGTCCTCTGGCCCAAGGCTGACTGTCACTTGGAAAACTTGAGTATACATCATGTGTGCCACCATCCCCAAGAGACCTGAGAAGCAGGGATTATAATAGGAATTTTTGTGCTGATGTTTTTTATAATTCTTGAGATAGCTACTGCTGGAAGTGCCTTGAAAGCTCAAAAAAAGTCTTTGTTTGTAGTTTTATGCCTCCTATTCTACTGTGGGGAAGGGAGCTGCATGGGCAGAGGAAAGGTGTGACTGAAAGCTCGTTATTTTACATCACACTGAATTCTCAATTAAGAGGAGAGTTAAAGAAAGAAAATGGTTGAAGAAAATGTTGCACAATTAGCATCCCCACCAACCTTGCTGCTGCAAAACAGGGGTACGCCACCCACAAGTTATCTCACTTAGCCCACCGCAGACTGGCCTCAGGTAAGAGAATAAGGAGAGAGGCTTCTGTAGGCAATGCAAGATTGAATGTGTTAACACTAAACAACGATATTTTATCTGAACAGTTGCTAAGATTTATAAATTGGAACACTTATAAAACGTTTGGAAGTTACACAAGGAAGTTAAGTGAACTCAGCATTCCTGACGATGTGTGGTGAGAGGACATAGGAATACTCTTGAAGGTACACTGTTGATGATGCTTGCTTTTGTGACACCATTATATTTTGCTGAGATAACTACAGCTGGGTGAAGGTTGGACACTCTATTAGACACTCGACTCGCTGTGATGCTAGAGAACAGGGTTGCAGTTAGATCACTGAATTTGCTCTGCCGCTTAGCTGGCCAGCCCGTATTTTTACATTTAGACATCTGTCTGAGGAAAATCAAAACCCACTTTTCAAGAAGTGGTGGCCAGTAGCAGCTCTGATGCTTGGACAATTTTCTAGCTACAATAATTTGGGATGTGTCTGCTTTAGTACCTAGGTAGTGCAGAATGAAGCTCCCAGCTGAGCACACGAAAAGCGTGGGTTCAGGCAGCTGGGTAAACTGTGGGGCAGGAGCATCATTTTCCAAATACACCTTGGACCTACAGATGTCAAAAGCCCCTGGTGCTGCAATGACAGTTCAAGGCACTTTGAAATACTGGTGGTCTGCCATGGTGGGGTACAATGCGGTCCCATACCTTACACTTTGCTCCTTAAGCAAAGTTGTCATTTACTGTTACCTCTGACCATCTACTTTTTTCCACAGTTGCCCTTCCTCCATGTGGAAGATCCCGATTCTCCCTCCCCAGACCCAAATTTTGGCTTACTTTCAGAGTCTAAAGCACTTCATTAGCCTCACCAGACATGTGGGTGATTCAGGGCAATTCTGGGAGAGGGAAGTCAGGGAATGTCATGTTTGTGTTGTGTTAAGCAGGACCTTCAGCAAGACGAATGTCATATTTGATACAAACAATTGCAGAAGCTGAAAGCAGATATTTTATTCCAAGAAGCTGCGGTGATTTGCTTAGCTGCTTCATGTCAGTGTGACACACTGGAACGTTAGGAGGTGGAAAGAGCCATTCACATCGGAATAAATGATATTTCAGCAGGGTGGGCGGCCTAATGGGAGCACAGCAAACTGGTGCTTGTTTCTGGCTATATTTAATTTCCAGAATTCACTGGGAGCTTGCTGTACTTTTTAAATCAGTGGATTTCTCTCCAGCTAATAGTTATGGTATTGATCTTAAAGTTTGGGGTTTGTTGTTCCTATACCTACTGTCAGTAATTTTTCAACCTTAATAAAATATTACAGGCTGCCCTGAGACATGTCGTAGTCACTCAGAGCCATTAGGAGGTTTGACACGGCCAGGACTAGCTTCAGCAAGGCTGCTCTGCTCCGTCCTGTCGTGCGAAACCTTAATGGGGTTTTAGCAATGTTCAGACCTTTCGCTGCGTGGGAGGCTGGGATGACAGCCCACTGATACAGGTGAGTGGGAGGTCATCAGCAAGTCCTGCTGTAACACAGGGACCCCAGTGAAAGCATGGCATTTATTGCTTTATCTGCCTAACGGCGGGGAGGGTCGGGGGTGGACAGGTACCTGGCTGTGCTGTCAGAGGCATTATGCCATGTACAAGCTGTAACAAACCAATGCAAGTCTTTCTTTTATTGTGCTGCTTCACGCACTTGTGGTTTGGTTTGTTCCTCATGACACCCATCGGTTTGGTCTATTTTAGATATGCCTTGCCAAGTTCTCCATGGGGATATCCTGTGGTACTTTTTGTTGTACATTTAATGGTCACATTTTTGATAAAATGACCTGCCTGTAACGTACATCAACAAATGCTGTGTTTACAAGATCATCTTTTCCTCCAACTGGCTGCTTAAGGCTGAACAAAGAGGACAAAAAGCCTGCATGTCCACCCACCCGGGGTCCAGGGCAACAGATGCTTGGAGGTGGATAACCCTGATAACATGGTGGACTGGAGTGACTGGAGTGGATGGGAGTGCAGAAACACTGGCCATTTATAGTTGGCTTGAGATCATTAGTCTTGCAGGGCCAGAGCTGTTTCTAGGTGTCAGTAATGGGAGAGCTTAAAGAATTAAATTTGGAAAAGACAATATATTTTAAGGCATTTTCAAACACCTTTACTAAAAGTATTATTTGTGGACTATATCACATTAATTAAAATGCTTTATTATAAATATTACATGAGAGACATATGTGAGTTTTTAAATTTGCATAAGGTTAAGAGGAATACCAAAATCGCGATCTTGTGGGGTTTTTTTAATGACTCATAAGAGGTTAAGAAAGAGCAATAAGTGGCCACACTGTTAGGATAATTTTTCCTAACCATTAGATGTTGAGCTATGAGAATATGAAGATCCCATTGCACTTTTAAGAGGGAACTCTAGCATGAATTTAATGAGAAGTGTGTTGCTCCAAGGCAAAGTCCTCTTCGTTAGCTAATTTCTATTAAGCTGTGTCATTATAAATATGCTAAGCTTAAAAAAATACGCTTTTCTTCTTTCCTCTGATATCTCCTGTCACTGAAAATAACAGCTAGCAGTGTTTTGTTTTGTTTTGTTTTTTTCCTTCGTCCTACTTTTCTATCCCTTTTCCATGTAAAGTTTTAAAGTTTATGTTTGACACATCATGGCAATGTACTTATAATGGGGGAAGGACAAAATAAAAACAGAAAGATGGGTAGGAAAGAAAACTTCATCATTCTTACAAAACTTTAAAACTGCAGTTAATGGTGAAGAGAAAGAGAAACAGCATGGAAATAATTGTTCGAATGCTGAAGAATTCCACATAGTTTGATTTTGAATATTGAACTGACTTTTTAAAAATCCAAATTACATCCAAAGCTGAAAAATATGCTTTGGCAGTTTTTGCCAGATATTTTTGTCCTCTCAGCTCTACCTCTGATCTAAGTTTTATACCACTAACTGTATTTTACAATTTGAAGCTATCCCTGAAGATACAACCCCTTCACAGAAATGTACACTGCCTGTTATAATCTCTTTCAGCTTGAAATACAGCAGAATAAAATGCACTTTATTGCCGAAGTTCTTCCTGCCAGAGAGGTCCATGCAGGAGTGCTCACAAAAGCCAGCTGTGGCTGGTTGCTCGTATAAATCCTGGGTAGTGGAGTTTTCAGCCAGCATAGAAGTGAAGGGGCACTTAATGACATGGTTAGATTGGATAACTTCTTTTAGAGAAGTGTATTCCTCAAGTTCATTTGCTGAAGGGCTCCAAGTACAGACCGAGCATGAAAATAGCCTGAAACAGTTGTTCTGAGAGATGTACCTGTCCCCAGATTCCCCGTGGGGTTGCTCTAAGTGCGATTATTAGAACCCTTTTCATTCTCAATTTTGCTAATGAACAAGATGGGCTTCTTTCTTTGGTTTGAAGCATCAAGCCTTCATCTACTCTTATGATTAACACAGAAAAAAGAATTTTCAAAACTATATGTTTTTCATTTCCTATTGGATTATCAGTGTGATGATGCTGAAAGCAGAGGCTCAGGCTATGGCTATGGTAATGGCTGTGCGGGCTGGGGGAGGCTAATTACTCCATTGCCGTTGCGAAATCAGGACTATGTATTTTCACTTCTCCCTAGCAAGAGGCAAATTTATCATGTGGTCCTTGCTCCAAGGGAACAAAAAATTGTCGTGAAAAATGTGATAGCGAAATGGGCATAAAAGAGCCTATTAGACCCCAGTTTTTATTCTTTCAAAGTTTTAGAATTTTGCTCTGTCGTGGCTCCTCGGGCAAAAGGGAAAGGGAAGGTTCATACCTGAAAGCACAGTGAAGACAGCAGCAAAGGCATTTAACTTGAGCCCATCGATCACACTGCTTGAATGAAAGAGCTCGAGGCACATAAGGCTGAATCCGACGACTAACAGCATGATGTATAACACCTCAGATACTACTGATAGCCACAGGACACCTGCAATGCACAAGAGCAGCAACCAGTCACTTATTTGGTCAGTACTTTCAAGAGGTTAAAGTTGGTAAAAAATAATTAGGAAATCAGGAATATCTAGGAGTCACTGTGTATTGAAGAGCAGCAGGGTGGTAAAGATACTGCAAGAAGAACAGGCTGTTTCCTAAGATCTCAGCTTGGCTAAAGAACCTCTCTGGGTATATCTAGAACATCTTGGCTCCTCTGACCCAAACCATAGGACACAGAATCCATTTTCCCTCCCTGTCATGGTTTAGGTGAACAGAATCTAGCACACATGGTGGTGATGGCACATAATACCTTACAGTATATGTGCTGGTGGGAGATGAACAGGCTTGGATACCTCTTTTTCACAAGGCTGTTCAAAGAAAATGTTTTCAGTCCAGGTTTTAAAATGCTTATCATAGAGTAATGTTGGGCCTGTTATTAGAAACTGGTGTCCTGCGGAATGACTGTTCCCACTTGGGGTGTTTGCATCCACTGCACAGATCTCCGCTGCCGGGACTGATAGGAAAACTGCCAGAATACCGGTGGGGTGGAGCCAGTCGTTGATAACATACTCAGGAGAAGAGCTGCAGATACAAAATTTGGTCTGCCTTCTGTTTTCTCAACCCCTAGGTACAACCCCTCCAGTGAAGGGCAGAGTTGCTGTGCCCCGTTTGCAGGACTTCGGGGTTGTGCCCAGGTAAGCGGGTCTGGCAGCGTTTGGTAGTGGCCAACTGAGACCGATTCATCTGCTGTAGATGCTACATTTGGAAATTTCAGCACAAAGCCTCTAGCAGGATCTGCTGTGTCTTTTAAAGTCACCAAGCCATGGGGTAAATTTGAGAGGATGGTAACAGATGATAACAGTGAGTCCCTGCCAGATTTCCAATCGCTGTTTCAGCACGAGAATCTGCTAGAATTCCTCAGTACATTTGCTAACCTGATTGCTAGAGAATTCTGGAAACAATGAGCAGTGATGGAAAATTTCAGCCTAAGCAGTTGAAACATGGAAAGTTAAGCATCTGAAGACAATGGCTTATATTAGAAAATGTTAGCTGTAACCATAGAGACTGCTACAGGCTTCACTTATATTAATACATTCTCTCCTCCCTGTAAGAACATATGTGTGATAATGCCTATAGTTGAGCTTATCAAACCAGATACGCAGTCTCACTTTTATCGAATATTTGAGTGTCCTATTAGTGACCAGGATGATCCCGGCTCACATTTTGCCTGGGAACTTGTCTTTATAATTGCATCTAATTAATATGTGCTATTCGTTGTTGCCACCCTATCTGACCTTTTGAGTTTTTAAACAATACTACAGAGATAGTAATAAATAAATCTTTTAATTTCTCACAGTGACTGCGTGTGGAATATTGCATCTATCAACAGCAAACAGCTGTTTATCTCACTCCTATTAGTCAACTTGGTGTCAGGGCAACTGGCACGCTTTTCCAAAAAGAAATATGAGTGAGAAGCAGCAAGGGTGTTGTTCTGCAATACAGCAGGATTAAGAAGGGATTTTGCCTCATTTTCTCATAAACAGAAGTTCCTATGACAAGAGAATGATAAAATGGTTTGAGTTGGAAAGAATTAGATTATGCGAACCTGACCTACAAACTGAGGCAGCAGAGAGCCCTAACTAACGAGTCCTAATTCATAAATGTCTCAGCCCAAACTTGAAAGAGTAATATACAACATATCTGCCCAGATGTTTATCGCCCTGTTTCAGCTCTTGAGGCTGCTCACTGCTGGTATCTACAGACAAGGGCAGTGCTGTAGGAGTCACTGCAGTGCAAGGCTGTGCTGTGGCTCTGTCCTCTACTTCCTTGGGTGAAGAACTGGCTGAAGGGTCGAGCTCAAAGAGCTGTGGTCACTGGGGTAACATCAGGCTGGTGGCCAGTCACCAGTGGTGTTCCCCAGGGCTCAATTTCAGGGCCAGTGCACTTCAATGTTTTTATCACTGGCCTGAGGATGACAGGAGTCGAGTGCATGCTAAGAAAGTTTGCTGATGATACTAAATTAAGAGGAGATGTTGAGTCCCTCAAGAGTAAAGAGGCCTTAGAGAGAGATCTTGGTAGATTTGAGTGCTGGGAAATCAGCAACAGTATGAAATTTAACAAGGACAAATGCTGGATTCTACACCTGGGACAGCATAATCCTGGATGTACGTATAGCCCGAGGGACAAGATGCTGGAGTGCAACCCCGCAGAAAGGGATCTGGGGGTTAGGTTGATGGCTTGGGGGTCCAGTTGATGTACTTCAGCTGTATACAAGTTTTATCTATTGCCCACTTACGAAACTGTGCTTGAAGCTGGATGCTGTAGACACAAGTGTAGCGTGCTTGAGAAATAACAGGAAGCTGAAGAGATGCACACATGGCTCTATGGGAGGTTCCTGGTTAACATGACCAGAAGGCAAGTGAGGGGACACTGCTAGAGGCAGCCTTGTGCACATTCAGAGTGACAGGAGGGCTCTGGGAGGTGAGGGTGGAAGGCCCCGCTGGTGTTCTTTATCCTGCTGGTGAAGCAGAAAGGCACAGGAGGAAGGAACACCTGACGGTGTGGCTGGTGTCACAGGGAATGCTTTGGTTTCTGTAGCCACAGGGCCCTCTTCCAGGACCAAGGACTGCTGAGACACCTGGTCAAATGGGACACGAGTGGTTTTGCCAACAGGATAACCTTGCAAGGAGATCTTCAAACCTGATACGCTGGAGAAGGCTTGTCGTAATTTGAAGAGCTGTGAGGGCATGGGGGACGGTGAGGAAGTGACAGGGGCATGGCGTAAAGGTAAGGTAGAGCGAGCTTCACCTTCTCATCCTGTAGAAGAGACGACGAAGGTCTTGCTGTCTACAGCTACCTAATGGAAGGATATAGAGGAGACAGCCAGACTCCTAGAGCTGAACAGCGGTAGGATAAGAAAAAATTCGCAACATCAGAAATTCCAGACTGAGCTAAGCAAAAAGGTGGTCAAACACGGACAGAGGGGCCCAGTGAGGCTGTTGGATCTCTGTCCTTGGAGACATTCAAATCTCCACTGGACGTGGTCCTGAGTAGCTGGATCTAATGGACATTCTTCTGCAGGGGCTTGGACTAACGGCTCCAGAGGCCCCTTCCACCCTAAATCATTCTATGATTTTTTAATTGCACAGTTGCTAGGTCTGATGTGCTGGGGTTGCGGCTGCAGGGAGGAAGTTCGCTGGGGTAGGGATAACTGGAGTAGAAACGGAGTTGAACTATGGCTCTGATGAACGGCTCGAGACATGAGTTTTGCTGTCCTGTGAAACCTTTTTCCAATGAGACACAAAGACTGGATGAGTTTCCCGTGGAAGGCATAGGCAATCATTTCTTTTTTTGGGGCCTGTTTCTATCTGGAAAGGAACTCTATGTCTAACTCTCATGTCTAATTTCATGGTGTACACTGAATATCTGCTCTGTGCCTTTTTAATATACATTTATTGTGGGGGAAGGTAAGTCATACATGTAGTATTTGCATAGTTCAGAGTATGTCCTGTCCTGCCTGCGTTCATTTTGAATTTCATCTGAAATAATAACAACCAGAAAATGCAAGCTATATCTGGATTTTGCATCTTCCTGGGGCTGCCAGAAGCAGAACAGTTGATTCAGGTTATTAATTCAGGAGACAGTGTCTTTCTGTTCTGTGTTGATGGCAAAGTGGTCTCCCACTGCTCTTCTCTCAACATGAGATTCATGAGGCAGTCACTTGGCATCACTTACTTCCACTTACAATCTCTTACAGCCTCCTTCCTGCAAAGTAGAGAGCTCCTTCTCTTGAGGAGACCTCAGTCATTCCAGGTGACGGGGATTTCTCTGCTGTCACCTTTTCTGTCTGTCTCAGTTCCCACCAGCCTGTGTCCTCTGCTCCAGGGGTTTGTCTGGCCTAACTCAGCTTTTGTGAAAAAATCTTTCCTTCAGAGTCAGCAGTTGATTCATTTGGAGATTCCTACCTGGATGGGCTGTATCTGAGGGTCTGTATTCTTATAAATCACCACCTTTGTCTCATTTTTTCTCTGCTGTCACCTTTTCTGTCTGTCTCAGTTCCCACCAGCCTGTGTCCTCTGCTCCAGGGGTTTGTCTGGCCTAACTCAGCTTTTGTGAAAAAATCTTTCCTTCAGAGTCAGCAGTTGATTCATTTGGAGATTCCTACCTGGATGGGCTGTATCTGAGGGTCTGTATTCTTATAAATCACCACCTTTGTCTCATTTTTTGGTTTTTGTCCAGTTTATGCTTTTTCCTTGCCTGTTCGTCAAACTGACTGTTACGTGTGCGGAGAAGGTGCTGTGGGTTTGTGTACAGAGCTCAGCTGGGACGCGCCTGTCATGCCAAGGACGTTCCTTGGTAATGCAGAAAGATTTCAGGTTCTGACCTGCCTCCTCCTCACTATGTGCAGCATTTGTCAGACGCTGTGTCAACCCTGCGCACCTTGTAGGAAACAATGCTGCGACATTGCGGCGGCAATGTGAGACCTCCTAGGAAAGGAGAGCCTATTACTTTAAAACAAAACTAAATCAAAACTGATTTCACTTACACTTCCGTACACACGTTCTCACAAGCACGAGTATGTGCAAGGAGTCCATCCAGCATACTAAGACACACGTATTCAGTCAATCTTTCTTTCCAGGATTCCCTGAAATAATATAGAGGATGCCGCTGTCAAGTCCTCCTCATGTCTTCTGGGCTTTTTGCAGGTTAGCAAAAATGTGCTAGGTTTGCGTATTCATTTTTGTCCTGGCTAGGAGCTGACAGTGATCTGTCTTGCTGTCCTGTCACGTCTCTGTTACACATCGTGGTTTACTTGTTGTCCTGTATCTCCCAACCTGCTCTGAGAAGCTGCAGGTAGATGAGCACTAGGATCTTGATGACCCACTAATCTTGGTACCATCAACACCTGCTATTCTAACATGCCTTATCGTGCTGTTTTTTACTCTGGTGCTTCTACACCAACCAGTCTATCACGTCCTCGACAGTGTTCCTGAC